AGTGGGGGGAAAATGGTTAATCAGCCCGGACTATCATCCAGGTCGGTTTTGTGCAACTATTCTCTGCTGCAATCAAATACAACCATCATCTTACTTTGTTGTGGCCGGTTTTCTCCGTCTCAGTTTATGAAGAAATTTTGTTGAATATGCAACAAATTGGACTTATGTTCACATCGACGCGCTTCCACAAGATATTAACTGAACCAACAGATTCATACGCCTCTCGTTTAAGTTGCTTCTCGGCTTTACTTATATACCAAAACCTTTTAATGGTTCATCCGGTTTCGGTATGATGACACTACAAGACGCTTATTCAACGAGCCGCACATCTCAAGGTCAACTTTCGAAGACCAACTTGTCTTTCTTGGACTATGTTTTCAGTTATTCCAGTATTGAAGATGATGCGTGAGTAGTTTGTAGCCTAATAATTTAGCAATTTATTTAGGTTAGAATATTTTCAATAATTTGCTTATTTACTGTGCACTGAATGAAAAGAGAATAGAAATTTAGAATACGTGTGCTCAACTTAACAGAAACTCTCACAGGACAGGAAACATCTATTAAAAAGAATAAGCTCCTATGCTGCTTTTCCCAAAATATTTTCTAAATCAGAGCTGTAACTTTCGAACTACTGCTAATTTTATAGCGACACTCAAGGCCGCGCACATTCAAATGGTAATAAAAATGAACTAAGAACATAGATGTTGGAGATCAAGTCGGGAATAAATACAGTTTACTCATAGCCATCTATATATAACTATGATATTGCAAGCTGAAATGGATTTTCAAACTGAGGGTGAAGTTGCACGAGTTTGGTCAACACCTGTTTATATGCTCATTTTATTACGTGAATTTTCGGTCCAAATTCGAGTTTGTGTGATTCGACTATGAGTGCCGTGTTGATTAGCACACTGAGCTTGTCAGACAGCCCACACCCAATATGTACTGACTGGCGCCGGTGATAGTCTGAATTCTTTCATTTAGTGAAAGTAAGCGGAGTTTTGACAAGGTTTAGTTATACTCACATTTTTCATATGAACTCGAGTGACGGGTATTTTCCTCAGTGTGCTTATCCAATTGTATTGATTCGGACGACATTGGATCAGAGCTCTTCCCACGGTTTTCTAATTCTTTGTCATATCTAATAACTGTTGATAGGTGATTCTGGGTCCATTCTCGAGTATGACTACGCCAGAGTAACTAAGTGTTCGGGGAATCCATTTATTTATTTAGTTGCGGTTGCCTTGTTTACGACGAAAGTCAGCATATTCCGGAATTTAGTGATCACCGAAGATCCTGTTCGGATCGAGTCATTGTCTTTCCTCTGAGATTAACAAAACTGATATCGGAAGGAAATCGGTACATGAACGCGAACGCCTGAATGGTGCAAGTGTTTGAAGCAACTATCACCACTGAAATGAGGGGACTACAACCTGCCGAGACACCGGGTCTGGACGTCGGGGTAGTAAGTGAATGCAATCCAAAATAGGTCACCTAATTGCTCCAACACTGCCGTTTCCAATATCCTTTTGCTAAATACTTCAGTTAAACCAGTTTTCTCTCTGACGTGACCTATCTGCGCATCCCTAGGTGTACCGAGTACTCAATTTAATGGTGAGAACTTTTTTCAATTGGGGGATTCAGCAGATCGGAAAAAGACGGTTGAACCGAACATCCATTTGCACATCAATCAAGCGAAATTCTGACCAGCCCCAAGCCAGACGAAACAGCTGTCCAATGCTGTTTGTCGGTCCTCAAGAAGATTTCCATCGCATTTACATAATTGCATTGATCTGGTGGGGGAATTAACGAATGTTCAAGGAGTGAAACTCAAACCCAAGACCATCAACAGTGCCCGCGAAAAACCGAATGGGTAAATTCAAACATTCACCGTCTAAAAGAACCACGGATGAATTTTTCCGATATGCTGAAGCACGCCGAAAGTGTTGTGGTAAAATGACACTACTCAATTAGTGGTGACTCAAGTCCTATTCCTCCAAAAGAACCACAAAACTGCGGCAAATTATTTTCTCATTACTTCATCTGGAAGTGCTTGCCCGCTGTTCTGAAAGTTCATGAATAGAAGTCTTACTGTTCCGGATTCTGATACCTTGAAGATTATTCAACAGCGATTTCCAGTAACGGTGACTTCTCCACCAGATTTACCAAATTCCGTAACTCAGTCCTACTCCCACGGCATTACGAGGTTGGGGATACAACACTATACGTCCATGTTGAGTTTTTATAAGGAAAAAGTAAGTTCTCGTATTTTTGGAGTTCATCTCTGTCGATTTTTTATTGTTCGATAGAGAAACCTGGTAGTCAGAGAAATATCAAACCTCAAATTTCCTTAACAGATTCCGTCACGCAACGTATTCCAACACAAACCCCCACGCATTTAACTCTAGCAAAACAGAAGCACTTTTCGGCGCACTGATCATTTTTACCAGTTTTAGTCAGTCCAATAATTCAGATTAACTGGAAGTGACAAGTGGTTACTTACTATCCAGTCACTATCACCCACCTTAAGCTACTACTACATATCTGTCGAACCTCATTCACGATAAGAAGCCACGAGAGTCACACAATTACAGCCTCCTTCAACTTGCGTCCAGCTCTTATTCCTCTTTCGGTGCTTTTGAAACTCAGGCCGGATTTTGCAACGTGTTTGGGCTGAAAAACCGGTCACTTGGTGCAAAAGCATACCGAAGCATGTGGCCCTTATAGATTAGAAACCATTATCCATCACATCTCTGATCTCACTTGAAAAGAGTAGATCCAACTCATCACAACCGTGTCCTGAAGAAAAGAGAAATCAATTGAACAGCCCTGTGCAATCGCATCCATGCTTTAAAATCGCATCCAAGCATTTTTAACTGGTACTTGAAAGTTAACACGATTAATTGAATGAAAATATAACAAAGAATGACTGATGATCAGCGCTTCGGTTTAGTCGTGTAAAGATCAAGAATCGCGAGAATGGTTGTCGTGGGATCGTGACAAAAATGTAAATCAGCAGGATGAACCCAGCTGCTTTTTTCAAACGTAGTATACTTTGGAACTTAGATTAGCAATACCCAAAGGAACATCCACCCACAGAAAATCTGAACGACAGTAATCCTTATATTCATGGAAGCGCATCTGTGGCTCACAATTATACGTTCGATTCGACTTGAAATGAACTCTTCCGAAAAACTCAATTCAACGGACTAAATATTGGAAAAGATTCGCGTAGTTGACAATCAATCGTACTGTATCTATCATTTTAAACTGGTAAACGATGCTCATTTTTGTCCAGTGTCTGACTTCAACCACGCCGTGATCGATTTGATAGTCGACAAATTAAATCAAAACGGTACTTTACTACATTCACGTACTGGATGTGGGCTGAAACAGAGAGAGACAGAACGAAGCAAAAGAATAAAGAAATGGACAAATTATCTGGAACGAAATTTTAAAAAAATCACAAGCATCTAGGACGGAATAAGATTATTGAATTCCCATAGGTCTATGCGTGGATGTTTAGATGTTTGTGTGTGTGCATGCGGTTACGTTCATGTTGCTTTGGTGAGGGAAGTCAAAGGATTGGGAACAGCAATAGAAACATAGAGATCCATGGGACATCTGACTTCAATGGGACTTGGTTTGTGTGTTTGTATTTGTTTGTACCTATCACAACGAGTGGATACAAGACAACCTATCTTTAATTATTAATTCATACGACTGATAGAAAATATCTCGAATAATAAAACGAAATTTATGAGAAACTCTGTCGGAAACGGATATATGGAATTAAAGGTATCATTGAAGTGATCGAACAAACACATGTTCAGATGAGGACAATTTTAAGAGGCGGATGAATCGCAGACAACTACGGAATATACACATTGACTAGGCAAGGATTGTACGAACGTGTAACAGCATTGCCTCGTTCTTACGTAACATAGTTAGAAATGGGGTGGGGATCAGTACCGTAGAACTGGAAACAACAGACTCATGCTGAACACAGAATTCCTGCGTTGTTCTTGTGAGTGTACAAATCGTTGTCATGTGCCACGGGATATCACTAAGGTGGGAACATATTCTGCGTCCGATCCAATCGTTTACGTTGCAACGTTCGGGCTTTTCGTTGCCGAGCTACTTGTGCTGCATCACCGGTTTTGGGTAGGGCGGGTAAAAATGGGCCAATGTTACTGGTATAGGGGCGTGCGGATGGTCGTGCCATATCCAGTGGATACGTGCTAGAGAATTCGGTTATGGGGTCGAATACTGCTATACTATTGTTTCCGAGAGAACTTCGAGCGGTACGCGCCGCTTTGGCCTGGCTTGACTCGCTGCTCAATCTGAATTAGAAACAAAAGATTGGGAAGCAAGGGAGTGGCATGGGTTAGGTAATTTGCGCTAGGGAACGATAATGAAACTATCACAAAGCAGATTTGAGGCTAATTAGAATGTTATAAATCCGACTGCCAATGTAACAAAAATTGAGTCACACTGAGGGGTGAGTTCTATTCTAATTCCTTTTATTGAGTACTTAATACACTTTTCGGGAAGGGGGAAGTAAGCGATTTAATGGTTGCGATACAACACAGAATGGGGAAATTCAGGTAATGGTGGTGGGATGTGAACACATGTCCTCCGAGGTGATAATTTGGTTACGTTATCACTCGACCACCAACACCACACAGTCGATTAAATAATCGAATCGAAGAGGACGAGATTTCCCTATCAGATGGTCACTGACGATAGCATGATTTTTTCATCAGGAATAGCCTTTGACATACAAAGATTGATCAAACACTCACAGATTGGCTTTCTATTCTGTTTTGGACGACCGGGTTATACAGATGAGTTGAAAGCAGACACTAGAATGGAAAATAAGACAACCTCTCGGTTTTCATTCGCCTCTGTTTTTCTATCATATGTAGTGATATTATTCTGTCTGTTTTGGATGGACCGGTTTCGGACTCGCTCCTGACAATATATCCGTGCAGACTTTTAGCGTCCACATAGGTGTGAGCAAGAATTAATTCTTTCGACACAGATTTTTGCTTGGAAAATGCAAGTATTTTTCTTTCAGTCGGTTGTGCTGCACAATCCCTCAAGTAGCGAATGTGAAGAATAAGAGAGCCACAAAATTCGCAAACTGCACTTCATCCCATGGATATCGGATGGAAGTTGATGCGACCATTGCATTTCAAATTATCGAGCCGACACCCGCTTACTGCAAATCATGAAAGCGATATTCATTCGGCAATTATCAGTTCAAATTGTGCTGACAGGATGAGTTTTATCATTCTATTCACATAGCCTTGATAAGAGATTCATGTGTCGGAAGCAGGCACAGCGAATCTTTGCAGTCCTGAAACTGCGCAACGTTCCAGTTAGTTATATGTGAACCGAGTTTGTTCACACGCAGATTTTTCGTACAATTTTATCGGTATGCAAGATTATATTTTGCACCAAAAAGCACTTCATGCCACAGCTGCAAATTCATAAGTTTAAAAGTAAATATAAATATCAAGTACGAATCAAAATTTTATGCACAATGGAATTTACTTCCTGGGTATTGGGGTTGGATGAGATACAATTCGAGATGCGAACAGATCCCGACCATACTCGCACAACTAAAACTGTAATTATCAATTCCATCATACGTTTAAAATATACCATAGTTCGACTGTATGAAAGATAGTACATCAACTTGACAAAAATACAGTCGAAATTACAAGGCATGGGTTATCTGTTCCCCGCAGTGAACTAGCCCCAAATGCAAATTGTGCAATGACTAAGTTATAACGACTCCATTCAGATTAACTTCGAGAAGTGCTTGTTTAATATCGGCTTAGTTAAATTCGATACACAAGTGCGTCCAACAGTTTAGCGCTTCATTAGTAATGCTTGATTCTTAAAAAAAGTAGTACTGAAATATTGTGAGAAAGAATGGATAGTATTGAGTGATCAGTTAGAATGAACTCTTGTTTTTCACAACAATTCATCGAAACACACAGACACCATTTTCTTCTCATCATCATAGGTCGGTGGTTTTGGATAGTAACCCAATATTCAGCCTCCGAGGGGAAGCGTTTATCTGACTTAATGTATGGGTATCTGTCACTGCGTCGCATAAACTCAGAAAGCAATATAGATGGTATGGTAAGAACAATAAAATACACTCAAGTGATTGCCGTATTCAAATACGATTGCTCGTTAGTTTACAGCTCGAATATCAATATTACGTTACGCGCGTCTGCAATTTCCAATCGTGGTCAGAAAACTATTTGATCAAAACTCTTCGATCTTAGTTTGTGTTGCGCTTAGATGTTATCATACAGATTCTATTCATTAGACCAGCTGAACAGTACTGACTAGCTTTCAGTTCACACTTCGTTTGTCCTGTACATAACGAAACGCCTTATATTTTCGAAACAATCCACCATTACTATTAGGTAATGGTTGCTTTTATTAGTTCACTATATCACATATCCACAATAGGTAGAAAAAGAAACAAAGAAATCTTGATAAAAATGATTCTTCCTTAAACGGCTGAACACACATTTATCCGGTTTGATCAAAAGACAAATGTCAGTTATTGGATCTTACTGTCATGAAACGATAGTGAAGATAAAGCATATATATATATATATATATATATATATATATATATATATATGGCGTCAAAATAACCAGGGGTTAAATGTAAAATATAGCAACGGGAGGAGAAAGCTAAAAAAACCCCGTCAACTTGGGGACTAACAATTTTTTAGTTTGTTTGAAGCCGCCTGAAATGAACTAAAACTCAATCAGTCCACGAAATAGATGCAAACAGACAAATTTCAGTACATTTTTTGTTGTTAACATTTCAATTACCCAAAATGGAAAATATTTGGCGGAACCAAGAGAGACCATTTATATTCGGGCGACTGTCTTTCAGGTCAACTGTCTCTTATGAGAGATTAGAAAACATTCTGCTTGGTTCACTACAAGGAAAAACAACGAAATTGACGGGTGACAAAGTGCTCTGGGTTCCCAACTCTCGTCCTTGCAAATGGTATAGAACGTATTGTGATGGAAGGCAGTACAAAGAGAGTCCTGGCTCGCGACCGAATGAAGAATAGGGCTCATCCGACAAGACGCAGTGGCGGGAAGTGCCTCGCGAGACAATGTTGAATGCCACCCGAAACGAGCGAATCGACAAT